AATTTTTATACTTTTCAAATATTAAATTTTCTCTTTTCTTTCATAACCTTGGCCTTGAGTCAGCTGAGCCTACTTCATATTTAGGTGTTTATCTCAGTACATTTGTACTCAATTGACCTTATTTTGTATTTCCTATACTTTTACTTTTATTAAAACTATACTTTTCCCATCTACAAAATTCAACAATTATAAATTTATTTATAACTACTAAATTTTCAATTTTGACTATTGAAATATGTACGTACATTCTATCAAAAACTTAAAAAATTGATTAGCTTAAATAATTACATTTGTTATAAACAAATTTTTCATTTTTAAACAAAGGCCGTAGCCGGATAAGCATTGTTTTGCGGCCCCCGCTAAAATTTTCACGATATTTTCAGGATGAATTAGTCTCTATATGAAACTTTTTTTCCCTAAGTATCAACTCGAAAAAATTATTTTTGGAAAACTTGTGGCACTTTTTTGAAAAAATTAAAAATTAAATTATTTCTGAATTGACTAAACCGTTAAAGCTCTCCAAGAAATATGTTAAAAAGGAAGCAAAAGTGCATCTAAAAAAAATTTGGTAGTAAATTTTTTGCAGTGGAAGGGGTAAAAAAAAATTTTTTTTTTATTAATTTACTTGGCACAATCACCATATATTTTTTTGACATTCTCTTACATCCCAAGAGATTACATCAGTCCCTATTAATTATTACCTCGGGTTTCTTAAAACCAACAAAATAGAACCGAGGTCCTATTCCATTATTCCGTGCACAGAAAAAAAAAAAAAAAAAAAAGTTGCCTCAGTAATTGCGCTCGGCGCTATGTACGATGCCCCACTGTTCCTCGCTTTAGCTTACCAGTGGATTTTGGACATTTCAATTTGGTTATTTATCTTTACTTTAGATTGCATTTCGGTACATACATCATTGGCTATAGAGTTTTGTTTAAAATAGAATTTATTCTTTGATTATATATTATATATCATTCTCTATGGCTTCCAGAGCCTCTTTGGTTTTCAAAACGTTTGTCGCGTAAGTTTCAAGAGCAGTAAAGTTCGTTTTGTTTCTGAGTAGGTCTTGTTCGTCAATGTGTGTTTTGTTAATAGTTGTCTTTAGTATTTGTCTTATTGTCTCGTATTTAGGGCAGTATTTCAGTACATGTTGGGGTGAGTCTCGTTCACCACATGAGCATATATCTTCTTCTTCTGGTATAATGTGAAAGCGACTTTTGGCTGTTTTAAAATTGCCATGTCCAGTAAGGAATTGTGTTGTCCAGCGGTTGGGCTGGAGCCAAGTATACTTCAGTCTGGTTCTGATATTAGGAATATATTTATATGTTTCTCTGCCTTTATCTGTGTCATTCCAACTTTCCTGCCAGTGATCCAACAAGGAAAGCTGGATCTGTTTTCTGTAAGTGTTTTGTGTTAGCTTGATTTCGTTTTCAGTATCTGTATGATTGAATTCGTATGTAGTGTCAAGTAGTGTGAAGTTTCTAGTTCTGCGTATGTTATAATGTGCGGAGCGCCTCTCACATTCAAGATTGATTGGAATGTTTCCTGTCAAAACCGTCATGGAGTGCGCAGAGGAGTTTCTGTAGGCGCCTGTAACCTTAATCAAGGCGTGTCTTTGAGACCATTCAAGTGTTCTTTTTGCAGTGGCGCAAATTCTATCATACCACCCAGCAGCAGCATAGGTGATGATAGGAACATATAGTCCTTTGTAGATTGCATTTAAGGACTTATATCTTAGTCCCCATTCGTCTCTGGCTTGTCTAGATAGGTTGTTAAATAGTTTCCTTGTTCTCTGGTCTATATCTTCAACATGTTTTGTTACTGGTATTCCAAAAATACCGGCTGAGCTAAATGTTATGCCCAAGTATTTGAATTTTTCAACTCTTCGAATTCTTCTATTGTTTATTTTAATAATTGGAGGAGCTTTCTTATTGAGAAAACCCTTAGCCATTAATTGGACACACTTGCTAGGAGCAAGGGCCAGTTTGTTAATTTTGCACCAATTCGATATTGAGTCTATTGCAATTTGCCCTTTTGTTTCTAATTCTTTTTTAGAGTTGCCTTCAATCAGTACTACCTCATCGTCAGCATATGCGACGGCTTGGCAGTCCAAATGTTCCAGCGCTCTTAAGTTAGGGTCAAAGTATTCCATGCACAGAATATTCAGGCAAATGATAGCCTGCTTTAAGCACTCTAATTTGTTCAAAGTAAACGTACCGGCCCACCTCGACACTCGATAAAGAGCACCGCGATGGGATATTAGTTGGACCGCCCCCGAAGGAGCTAAGCCCACCGGTAGGACGTCTCACGAGCATGTCAGTTAAACACCGCGAGCGGCGAACCGACAGCGTGCGACACAGATTCAACTACGAGCTTTTTAACCGCAACAACTTTAATATACGCTATTGGAGCTGAAATTACCGTGGCTGCTGGCACCAGACTTGCCCTCCAATTGATCCTCGTAAAAGGATTTAAAGTGTACTCATTCCGATTACGGGGCCTCGGATGAGTCCCGTATCGTTATTTTTCGTCACTACCTCCCCGTGCCGGGAGTGGGTAATTTGCGCGCCTGCTGCCTTCCTTGGATGTGGTAGCCGTTTCTCAGGCTCCCTCTCCGGAATCGAACCCTGATTCCCCGTTACCCGTTACAACCATGGTAGGCGCAGAACCTACCATCGACAGTTGATAAGGCAGACATTTGAAAGATGCGTCGCCGGTGCGAGACCGTGCGATCAGCACAAAGTTATTCAGAGTCACCAAAGTAAACGGTGGACGAGCAAAGCTTGCCACCGATTGGTTTTGATCTAATAAAAGCGTTCCTTCCATCTCTGGTCGGAACTCTGGTTTGCATGTATTAGCTCTAGAATTACCACAGTTATCCAAGTAAATGTGGGTACGATCTAAGGAACCATAACTGATTTAATGAGCCATTCGCGGTTTCACCTTAATATGGCATGCACTTAGACATGCATGGCTTAATCTTTGAGACAAGCATATGACTACTGGCAGGATCAACCAGGGATAGTTAAGAACTTGATAGTTAAAATTAAAAAAAACTTATTTTTGGCCCTTAAAATGTATAGTATCTCATGTAAATGAGGGGCCAACTTCGTGGGAGTAAAATATGCTAGAGGAGATGCAGAAGTACATCTAAAAAGATAGGTGGTAAATTTTGTGCAGACGACGGGGTAACGAAAAAAATATTTTTACTATTTATATTTTTAAAAATGTTTATTGACTTGGCCCAATCTTCATATTTCTTACCTTAAATTTTTTCCATACAAGAAATAAGCATATTCTTTTGTTAGAGTAATCTGAAGGATGCTTGAGAGTTAAAATTTAAGAAAATTAAATTTCGACTCTTAAAATTTTATGGTATCATATAATTAATTACAAATTAACCTCTTGTGCATCAATTGGACGTATTAGTCAAGAAGTGACTAAATAATCAATAAGTTAATAATATAGAAGATCTTTTAATGATTTTTATTATATAAAAACACCGAGTTTCGTCACAATCATAAAGCAACTATTAGAAAGAAGTCTAGCTCGGCAGACCTATCTGATATATATTCAGTAGTAGAGCATTTGCCATTTAATAATACTAAGTCTGTTACGCACGTTAAGAATTTATTAAATATAAATATAATGTTAAATGAAATGTAACTATAAGTGTTTAATATAATGCACTAAAAATTTGATCATAAATACATATCATCAAAATAAAAGTTGAATATCAGTTTAAAAAATTTTTTGAACATGATGTCTTCATGTAACAAAATGAATCCTGTATGTGCTGTTTGCAGCAGGTTTATCAAAAAAGTATCTGGTACAAAAAAAGTAGTAGTAAATCAAGATGAAGCAGATAATTTTTCTTTGGTTTTTGATAAGAAAATTGATGTTCAAGATATACTGTGTAGTGCTTGTCGTATTAAATCTTATAAGAAAAGAAAATTAAATGATTTAAACAATGATTCTGACTTTGATAGTGAAAATAACATTTCAAAAGAATCTTTTCATGAAAGTGATGATTCTTCATTATCATCAGACCAGGACGATTCGAATTTCGAATTACAATTTCCGTCTGAAAGAAATGAATCTATTCAAGAATACGCAACTATGCCATTTTTAAGAAATGTTTCAACACATAAATATTGCTTTATATGTAATTGGGCAAAAAATTTAGTAGTAGTTCCACGACAAGCAAGAATTCAATCCTTTGTCAAACGTCGAATTTATATTCCAGAAAATAATCGATGTTGCTCAAAACATCTGATTAAAGAACGTTTTTTCGAAGAAGATTTAAATCGTTTGAGGGTTCATTCTAATTCTTCTGAAATAAAAATATCAGAATTATCAGAATTTGTCGAATGCTTAGGTATCAGATGTGATACTACAATTTTTGACATAATAGGTGACTTTTCTTTATCAGAAGAAAAGTTATTTCTATTTACTGGCTTGACGTGGGAAAATATTATCGAATTACGTGAAATGATGACATCGATGAGAGATACTGAAACTCGTAAGGTAATACAGGCCATTGTAACATTCTTATTAAAATTACGAACGGGAAATTCAAATAAACTGGTTGTTGCATTACTTCAGATTGATCAAGAGCAGTTGGTATCAGAATATTCTGGAGCGATAATGAAGTCTTTTGAAAAAGATGTACTTCCAACACGATTTGGTATAAAGGCTCTGTCAAGAAACGACCTTATTGCATATCATACTAGTGATATGGCAAAAACGCTTTACGACTGCACTGACAAGCTAATGATAACTTGTGATGAAACTTATGCCCGTCACCAGAAAAGTAAAAATAATGAGTATCAAAGAAAGTCATACTCTGTCCAAAAAAAAGTTTCTCTCTGTAAACCGTTCACGGTTTGTACAACAACGGAAAGAGTCCTCGATATGCTTGGTCCTTATCATGCCACTGAGAATGATGCCTCAATCAATAATGGAACACGTGATGGGTGATCCTGATGGGCTCAGTTCATTAATGGAGCAAGGAGATATTTTCTTTGTCGATCGTGGATTTCGAGATGTGAAAAATTTCCTGGAATCTGAGGGTTACAATATTTTAATGCCAGCTTTAAAAGGGAAAAGAAAGCAATTAATGGATAGAGAAGCAAATGAATCCCGATTTGTGACAAAGTTTCGTTGGTCTGTGGAAGCCATTCATGAAATAATAAAGCAAAATGACGATGGAACAATCAATTTGCAATTTGTTAAAGATCAAACCAACATTCTGAAAATTTTAATTAAGTCTCGACACATTTCAAGGAAAGTTTACAGGTGTTTTGTAGAGTATGTACCAAATGGAATAGGTGTTTCAGGTATCAGACGATATGCTTGTGAATGCGCAAATGGTCGAAGGACTGTAGGCTGTTGTTCACATGTAGCTACAGTTATTTATTAGGGGAGGGTAAGGTATGGTGGCGCACTTGTCAAATCTGGCATGTAACGTCACATCTGAAGCGCCTTATCACTATGGTCGATGTCTTTTATCGTGATGACATTTTATATGCAGTAGTATTAATGATCAAACGCGTGCTTTGTACTTTAAGTGATTTTGAATAAAAAAGGTAGTGAAAAAAAGAAAAAAAGTTTTTTTGGATATGTGTGTTAACAGTGCCAGAGTGAAGATTTTTTGAAAATTGAGTCTGGTAAATGTATGGAACGTATTGTTTAGACCTTGGACAACAGTTTTTTGTATTTTACATTTTTCTCAATTCGCGCTGTATGAAAGTAACACTTGTTATTTTGATGTTAAATCACTTTTTACAAACGTTCCTAAAGAATTAGTTTTGAATTGCACAAAATTAAAATGGAGAGAAATCAGGCAGCACACAGATATTCCCGACAATATATTTTTAGACATTTTAGAATTTTGTATTGATAGTGCGTATTGTTTATTCAATGGTAAATTTTATAAACAGATTTTTGGTACTCCGATGGGTTCTCCATTATCTGGCACCATAGCTGACTTAGTGATGGAGAAACTTGAATCGGATGTTCTTAAGAAATTGGATTTTGAATTTATTTTTTATATTAGGTATGTGGATGATGTTATTACATGTATCCACAAGGATAACGTTAATTGTCTTCTTGATGCCTTCAATGGCTATAATAATAATATACAGTTTACCATTGAAATTGAAAATAATGGTCGCATTAGTTTTTTGGACACCCTTCTAATAAGAGAGAGCAACTCTATCATGACTGATTGGTATCACAAAGATACTTTTTCTGGTAGATATTTAAACTACAATTCTAATGTTTCTGTTAAAAATAAAATTTCCATTTTTTATGGCTTGGTGGACAGAGCCATTAAATTATCTGATAAGAAATTTTTTAATGATAATTTGAAATTTGTTCACGATATCCTAATTGAAAATAATTACCCTGTAACCTTTTTAAATAAATATATTAATTTACGTTACCAATTTTTATTAAATAACAATGCTAATAATAATAATATCAAAGAACTTTTTTCTTCCTCTAATTTAGTCTAATTTATTTTTAGCCTTACATAAATGAGCTGCAATATTTTTTTAAAAATTTATTTAATGAGTACAATGTTGGTGTCGTTTTCTCTTATGATAAGGATCCGTTTAAAATTTTTTCAAAAAATAAAGACCCTACTTCTTTTGATTTAAAATCGCATTTGGTTTATTGTGTACCTTGCCAATGTGGAGCTTGCTACATTGGTGAGACTGGTAGATATATTAAAGACAGACTAAGTGAACATAAGAGGGATTGTAGAAATGATAGTAGAAAAACAGCTTTGGTCACTCATGCACATGAGAATGACCATCTATTTAATTTCGAAGCAACAAACATCATATGTAACGAACGAAATTACAGACGAAGGAAATTTAGAGAGATGTTTCACATTCTCAAGTCCGAAAACTCTGTTAATAATCAGACTGATTTAAATAATTTGAATCAGTTTTATCATTCGTTAATTCTCAGTACTAATTAACTAATATATTTATTTTGTATTAAAAATTTTCTTAGATTACTGCTTATTTGAAATTTGAATTTACCTACTGTATGGGTTTCTTCCTTACCATATATAGAGGTACTTTTCAGTTTCACTTACTATCACTGTAATTCACCAATATATTTGAACAAGTTGAACAAGAGGGATCAAGCATGCGAACACATGTTTTTTCTTTCCTCTTCTTTTTCCGTTTGTAAATTTTTTTTTTTTATTATTAACAACATGTTTTATTTTAAATTTGTCCTTGTTGACAAATTAAGATGTGTTTTTTTGAATTATATTTTTAGTAAATTTCCGGGAAGAAACCTTCTTGGTAAGTTATAGGTTATGTTATAGGTTATGTTCTTCTAGATATTTTTTAATATATTTCTTTCATTAATAATTGTATGTAATTTCAGTTTAAAATTATCTGAGGATGCCTGTCGTCGACGGGCGAAAGCTAATAAATAATTATAAAATTATATGAATGGATTTTTTCAAAAAAACAAAATAACTTCTCTTATTCTAGTTGCGTTAAAACAGCCACCAGCTACTTCACATGTCCAAAATTGTAACCATAACTGAAGTGAAACTTTTTTTTCTTTAATGTAAAATCATCAGTTTTCTCTACTTTTGTTATTTTTCATCATTTCTAGTAGTTTTAAAAAATAATTTTAACATCTACATAATATTTTAGTTAAATACACCAAATGCGCCACCATACCTTACAACTTTCAAAAATAAAAAAATCAGTTTTTTGCGCCAAGAGCTGTAAAATTTCACTGAATTTAAATTTTAACAGCCGCTTCTGACAGAAATATGCTTAATAGATGTCATCAACTGCCTGCTTTTGAAATTTTGAAAAATATTGTTTTTTGAGAGAGAGAGACGCAAAAAAGAAAGTGTCCGCCACCATACCTTACACTCCCCTACCTTTCTCATGCAAGGTATTTGTCAAAAATCTTAAGACCTGCTGAAATTCTCAGCAAATTGTTCGTAAAAGAAAATTTTAACACAGTTATAGAAGAAGACAGCGACGAAGATTAAATCTTTTACGAATGTAGTCTATATTGAACTTTGTCGATTTACAAAGAATATTTATTAAAATTTTTTTTAAATGTATAAGAATAAAAATGTTATTTTTATATAGTGTAAATATAAAAATAAATATACGTAAATATACGTTCGTGTTTATAAAATTAAAAAATATATAAAAATTAAAAAACTAAAAAAAAATTAAAAAATTAAAAAAATTAAAAAGAGAAGTACAAATCTGACTGATAACTTCCACGTAGTGTACTTTGGACAGAATTGTATGGAAAAAGTGAACTTCTTTGATAAACAAAAATTAGAAGTTTAAATTTTCCACTAACTGACAAATATCAGCAGTAAAAAATTTTTTATAACAAATACCAAGCCCATAAACATTTTTAAAAATATTAATAGTAAAAATATTTTTTTCGTTACCCCGTCGTCTGCACAAAATTTACCACCTCCCACGAAGTTGGCCCCTCATTTACATGAGATACTATACATTTTAAGGGCCAAAAATAAGTTTTTTTTAAATTTTAACTATCAAGTACCCTTAAGATCAAGCTGGAAAAAATATATGTTACTCTTGGGATGTAAGAGAATGTAAAGAAAATATATGGTGATTGTGCCAAGTAAATTAATAAAAAAAAAAAAAAATTTTTTACCCCTTCCACTTTCCCTTTCCCTTTCTTAGAGAGCTTTAACGGTTTAGTCAATTCAGAGAAAATTTAATTTTTAATTTTTTCAAAAAAGTGCCACAAGTTTTCCAAAAATAATTTTTTCGAGTTGATACTTGGGGAAAAAAAGTTTCATATAGAGACTAATTCATCTTGAAAATATCGTGGAGATTTTAGCGGGGGCCGCAAAACAATGCTTATCCGGCTACGGCCTTAGTAGCTTCCTTCATCAAACGAAATTTTTTTCTTTTTTTTATATTTACTATCATAAAAAAGAACTCCTTAATGAAATGGGAATACATTAAATTATTCATTTAATTTTAATAAACATTATAAGTTAACAAATATTTAACTTTGTTCTTTTTTCACAGAAAAAAAATTTATTTATATGCATTTAAATGTAAACTGTTTTAACTGAATAATGGTTTACTTCATTAAAAATATAAATATTTATATATAAATTAATAAATTAATAAATATATAATAAATAATATATAATAATAATATAATAAAATATATAATAATATATAATATAATAAATAATATATAATAAATTAATAAATATAAATATTTATTTGTTACCTGTAAATTGGTGTAGTAACTTTTACTATTAGGGTAACATATTTCCAAAGTATAAAGAAAATCCAAGAACTTTTTTTTATTTTTGAAGCAGTTCAGGAATAATGGCTCTTATATGTGAAAGATAAATATCTCAAGTTTAATAAATTATCATGTTTTAGTTACCTTACAGATAATTTATAGTCAAAAATGTAATAATAATATAAACAAAAAACAAGATTTTTAGAATTTCTCAGCCTAGGCTTGGCAACGTTGTAAACAGTTGTAAAGTTAAGGCGAGTGCAAAATGTGCGCTAAATTCGAATTTCGACTGACAACTGATCGAAGAATTTTCGTTGACTATTCTGTCAGATACAAGAAAAATAGTAGATTTTGCATGCTTTTCGTCATTTTTTAATTTCTCAAAAACTAATTAACTTTTATTAGCGCTTTCGGTCTTGTATTAGAATCTACTTAATGTAGAATCTAAATTATTAACTGGTATTCTGAAATAAATTTTTCCAAAGAAATTTGAAACCGTAAAAGTAGGATTAAAAAAATTCAAAAAATTATCATAAATATTAAAGTGTCAATAAGGTCAATGTAAAATATGTTCATTTAATAGATATATTAAAATTCAAAAAAGCTTTTTAATTACTTAATTATTTAATTAAAAAAAAAATTTTTTTTGAAAAAGTGTCAATCTGTTTTTCAAAATTTTTTTAGCCGACTTTCACAGTTTCAAATTTTTTTGGAAAAATTTATATCACAATACCATTAATTAATTTAGATTTTACATTGAATAGAGATTGAAACAAGACCAAGAACGCTAAAAAAAGTTAATTAGTTTTCGAGAAATTAAAAAATTACGAAAAGCATGTGTTATGGTCTAATTTATAAAATAGACAAAGTTTATTTTATATCACTTCTGAGAGTGACAATTTATTAATAAAATTAATAATACACTTCAAAGGTAGAAATGAGACTGAGTTGCAAAAATGTTTGCAGCTCATGTCGAATATGAAACAATACAGGTGGGGATATATATTTTTGCTGACTATAACATCCCTCTCGCTAGATAGGATTTAGTCCCTAAAACCTAAATTTTACATTTTTATTTAAATAAGGTTTAATATGTACTTCTGAGTTTCTATGTGGTTGTCTTTT